AGAAAGAAAGAAAGAAAGAAAGAAAGAAAGAAAGAAAGAAAGAAAGATCTGTATCTTTCTGAAAACTGAATGCAATAGAAATTCTGAGCAGCTGATCAAAATTTAGAAAATATTCCACAATCAACAAACGTTATTCTTGGAATCCCTGGGAAATTGCCTGTACTTCTGTCTGTTTGGTTTTAAGGAAACAGAAACAAGATCTCCCTGATCTCACTGAGCCTATCTGATCAAATGAACACAGCACTGCTCCTGTCCAAACTTGACTCCTACCATGCACCCACAATATCCCAATGTCAGACAGTGAACATATTTACCAAAAATTGTTCTTGTAACTTAATCACATAAAACAAATCCAAGGCATGAATATCAGTCTCATATATTAAACTTGCCATATAAACTTCAAATTTATAAGGTTCTTCATTTGCAAAAAGATGAGATTGGCTTGGTTACTGTAAAACTATAATGTTCTGGTCTTCTGGGGCTAGTCTGTCTAATTTGCTTCATTTTCCAGATGAAAAAAGAAACCTTGGAGATCGTGGCTTTGTTCTGATTCAAAACAAAAAACAAAGAATGAAGCCAACAAATTTTCCCTGAGGAAGCGATAGTGTTTTCCAGCTGTATTTTATAATAAAAAAAAAAACTGTTGGAACGTTAAAACTTTAATCCATTCTTCACCCCTGGTGAAGACAAAGTTTTGCTTGCTCTATCAACAAAGAAGCCAGACTGCAGACAAAGTGGTGTGAAAGGCTACGAATCAAGCAAGAAAGATAAAAGGTGCACAACAACAGTCAAACTCAAGCTCAAAGAAAGGAGAGTGTTCAAGACATAAAAGTGAGGAGTAAGAGGATATTCATCTGACCCTCAAGAATGGCAATGCTCTCACACCTCTGCAAAGAGAAGAGTTACAGATAAAGCCATCAGAAAGAGAACACAAAAACTTCCATAACTGTATACATAATACATAATGCACATAGGGTGCTCCAAAAGTGATGCCTCCTACTTATTTCTGACCCAAAGAGCATAATAACACTACTTGATAGAACAAATTCTCAGCCACAAAATACTATTTTTCAACACAGTCATCTTCACTAGCTATACCCTTTTTCCAACAACAAACAAAAGCCTGTATGCCACACTCAGATATGTGCATGGGAGTCCAGAACATGGCAGAGATGACCACTGTCACCATCACTGAAACACACCACCCACCACCTGACTGTGCACACATCCACTGTTTGGTCTCCATACACTCAGCAAACATCAATCAAGGTGTCAGTGGGTGCAACTTTTTCCACATGGAGGAATTCCATGCCATGCCTTTGCTTCCCATGCACTCCCATGTCAGACATTACTTTGCCAGACTGCCCTGCCCCTCTGCTGCCATCTGTCACGCAGCAACATGTAACAGAATATTGGCAGGAAGGTTCAGCCCCTACTATCGTATCACCACTATCTGTTTCTGACACCATGAGTCAACAAAATAAATTTGAAGGCATTACTTTTGGAGCAGATGTATGTACTCACATATATAGAATACTTTTTTTTTTTTTTTAAATAAAAATTAGCAGGCCACACTTCAGGGATGCTATACGGAATCAATTTATATGACATAGAAAACAACCCCACCTCTAAAGTAAAAAACATTGTTATAAATTAATGCATACAGGGAAAATATTTTAATGACAAAATGCTTTAAAGTAATCTTTAAGTAATAGTAAAACATCTTGTTAGGGGCACAGTAGGCAGAAGAAAATAGAGAGTGGAGTTAAACAGTTCTCATTAGTAAATTCTACACATATTGGCTAAAAAGACCTTTAAAATTCAATAGATAATAGGATTTACTGAGAAATAATCTGTAGAGATTTTAACTAATTTCAGATATATTAAAAATTTATATATACCAAAATTTACTAACCAGCAAACATTGCAGCCTTTATATGTACAAGCTACCAAAATATCAAAGGCTTTTCTTCTTTTATTTATGCTATTTGATAATAGCTTCCAAAACCTGGAAACGAATAATCCTCTTACTTTTAACAACAGTAACCAGTAGCACAGCTGAAGAAAGATCTAGGAATAAAGACAACCTTTTCTTTCTAAGCTAACTACCTCCCTTGGGTCATGCAAGGCATTTCACATTCCCCCTGACTTTGAAGCTGTTCTTGCTTCAAGAGAAGGCTGAGAAGTTATTTTTGTGACTTTGTACAGTGCAGAGTGCATTACTGCCACCTAACATGCGATGCATAAAAGGAAGCTCCCAAAGATCTACACATCTCAGAGAATAACCTGTTTTCACTTGATATTTGAATGCTCTTTCATTGCTTGAAAAAGGAGCATCAGAATTAACTCCATAAGGAGCCATTATTCAAACCACCTTACACTGTTGCTGGGTCAGGATTCAATCCCATTCTCACTCAACATCATTGAGAAAAGTTCAGTTTGATTCACCAGTTTACAATAATCAGCCTTTTTAAAAGCAATTCTAAATGAAACATAGGAAAAAAAGAGGAGACAGCAACTTTTCATAAATGTGCTTCATATTTCTATGCCAGAAGGTCCTTACAAATTTGCATTAAAATTCATCACAAACTGTGTTCCATACTTCACGAAAAGCAAAAGTGTCATTTTATATAAGGAGTCAATGAACTTACCCATCAGCAGCCCAGCACAATACTGCTTGAATTTGGGTGACAAACCTATCCAAAAAACTGCTAATTGAAGGATGTCTAGAAGGAAGTTGAAATTTTAAAGAATGTTTTTCTTTCTCCAGTTCTTCCAATTTCCGTCTATATTTCTCAGCTAGAGAAGAAATTAAAAAAAAAAAAAGTGAGAAAAGATGGTTTTACTTGTAGAAGAAAGATTGATCAATAAGTAGTAAAATCTGTATCACAAACAGTTCTTCTCTTTTGATAAAATATTTCAGTCTCTTTTCCTTCAGAATGAAGTATTAAGAGTACAACAGTCAATATCAGATAATCAGGATGCTAAATTACTTTCTTCTATGACAAGGACAAAATTGCAGGATTCTCAGCAATTTTATTGAGTTTTAATTTGGTAAAGCTCTAAGTTATCATCCATACTCTTTTCCTAAGATAACTCTGAAACTAAATTATATGAAAACTCATTCCTCACTGATCTATTTTAAAACAATCTTAGATGGCAATTACACATCTGAAGTCTGAATTTTGAAAAACAGCATTGTTACTAGATCAAGAACAGCAGAACTGCCCGAACCCCAAGATTACATTTCAGCAGAAAATGCACATGCAGTTATAGAAATCTTAACAATTCTCTCACTCTAGGCTCTCCTGAATTACATCTAGCTTATCAAACACAAATGGCAGTGCTTTGACTCTACTGTATCTTTATTGACCTAGAGTCACTTCTTATATAAGTTAGTCTTTACTTTGTCTCCTTTCTCTGTGTAGAAAAGAAAGGAAAATGGTTCCAAACACAGATAGTTATTTCTGGTACATTTATCCTCTATTTATATGGTGCAAGTATACTAGGCAAAAAAAAAAAACAAAAAAACAAAAAAAACCACAGCCGAGGAGTCTCACTGATACAAGATGAAACACCTTTGATGATACATTAATCAAATCAGAGAGTTTTGAGTTGGTCCACAAATGGAAAATCTTTACAGCTCAGTACTTTCCTTGTGACAATACTGTCCACAATTTTTGTGTGATAAGCATTCCTTTCCCTCTAACATTTTCAATACATGTTACTACCAGAATAACTCCCATTTGTGAATGCTTTTTACTGCTCATTTTCTTCTTTATTCTCAAAGAGATTTTTAGAAGAGGGGTTGTTTACATTAGCTACTTCAGTCCAATGATCCATTTTCACAATAATCCATCATTAGTTTTGATATCCCTTCTGCTATGGTGGTGATGGGAAAAATTAAGACATACAACATGCTAACAAGACTAGATTTTCTCCCTAGGCCAGTAGATTGTTCAAAATAGCTTAACGCATGCTATTATTATTATTAAGGTGCAAAATGCTTTCAGAATGCTCTAGCCAGGATTGTCATCTCCCAGGTTACTGCAGATTCCAGGCATTGCTTGAACATGGCCTAAAGGACTGCAAGGAGCAATGGGTTCTGACATAGCTCCTCATGCACTACCTAAACCAGATTATTCAAATCAGAAAGTAGGACAGCTAATTGTGGAACAAGCCCTGAGCCTTGTGGAAACACCTTGAGTTAGCTTTCTTTTCCTGAGACTCTGTCACAGCAGATGAGGCAACCAAGCAACTGATTGCAGACAACAGTAGACAACGGTTTCGACAAGGATATATTAGTAGCTTCTTACAGGTAGGAAGAAAAAAAAAAAAAGAGTAATAAGCAAACATCCAAGTTAATGCCAATCCAAAGCAGGATGTCTGTTGCAGAGCATCATACAGATTTACTGTCTTAAGATCAGAAACAACCTCTAGAAGCACTCACTCTGTGTGTAGCATATAATCATCTAGCAGTCAGATTTTAAAAGAAATGCCAGCTGATCTTGGATGTCAAAGTAGGTAAGATTGTTCCATTCTGGCACATGTCCAAAACTCTCCTTTATCAGCAACTCCACAGGACATCTACAAATGACATCAAGCTGAATGGTGCAGTTTACATGCTTGACATGCAGAATCAAACTCTGTAACCCAAGTAAGATTACAAAGCAGGTATGGTTTATTCAGTGACGCGTGTATGCTGGATGCAAGGATGATAGATCTACCTAACTTACACACCGTCTGGAAAAATTGTGCTACAGATATAGGCCAAACTAATATGTAATCAATAGTTTTTCCGGAATTTAGATACACATTCATTACAGCCCCAAGAGTTCATTAGCATGCAGACCCTCCCCTCTTGTGGGTCATGGGATGAAGACTTCTTGTTTTCCTCGCAAAGGCTTCTGACCCTTCTCACTGTAAACTTCTGACCTGTTGGGGGGGCATCCCCCAAACTGGTTTCTTCTAGCCCTGTGGACATTTAATCACCTCCCTGCCAGAGGTCTCTGGGTTATTCTCAAACCTTATTGGCATGGCCTTTTTTCCCCTCACTATCCCAGACCAGTGTCTGCCATCCCTTATTTTTCTAACAAGCTCTACATTCTTACTTCTATAAACTATCTCTAACTATTCCCCTTCACCTCCCTCATTCTCAGTCACTATGAAGCCTTCTTGCCTTTTCACTTTCACTTATGGGTCCCTTCTCATCTTTCATGTTAGAAGGAAGAGATGCTATCCAGAGAGATCTGGACAGGCTTGAGACGTGAAGGAAGAAACTGTTTACTGTGAAGGTGGTGAGACAGGTTGCCCAGAGAGGTTGTGGTTGCCCCCTCCCTGGAAGCATTCAAGGCCAGGCTGGATGGGGCTTTGAGCAACGTGGTCCAGTGGGAGGTATTCCTGCCTATAGCAGGGGAGATGGAACCAGATGATCTTGAAGGTCTCTTCCTACCTAAGCCATTCTATGATGCAAGAACTTTGGTGAGATTCCTAAGTCCACAAAAACAGACCAGATTTTTACCAGAAGAATATTCCACATCTCATATAGAACTTCAAACACTGGTATAAAAAATATCACTATTATAATCAGAAAAGTAAGGACTAAATGGTGGCCAACATCTATTGACCATCAAAATGAGCAGAACTACCTCTTTTTACTTAGATCACTCATTGCTGGACTTCCTGCATTACCTGAATGGGAGTTGTGGAAGTCCTCTTTAATAGTTTGAACACATGCAAAGACATGCTTTCCTCTTCCCATAGAGCACGGTAGCAGCATTTACTATTGCAAAGCCTCCCAAGTGTTCATCCACAACAGATCACAGTAAAATAGCAGACTTCACAGAAGATATAAAGACTCAAGTCCAGATGCAAGTCACAAAAGACAGCCCAGGGAGAACAAAAAAAAAAAAAAAAGCTAGCTCATGTTTGGACTGGCATCTTTACAAGGCAGGAAAACACAGAATCATTCTAAGAGATCCATATGACAGTATTCAAATGTACTACTGTAATTGAGAGATGGGCAGTTAATAACACAGGTTTATATTCACAGTATAGAACTCCGTAGCTGGAGGAGGCAGCAGGCTGGTGTTCTCTGTACCCAGGATGAGTAGTTGGAAAACTTGCACCAAAGAACTACATGAGACAAAACTCATTCCATGATACTTTAACTTGTTTTTTGACATAATTATGTTAACGCTATGTTTATGCATCCATTGATTCATCCTTCCTAGTCCTTGAAATTGGCTATTCTGGGAATGAAAACAGCTGAAGGAATCCATATGCCACTTCATTATCTCTGTCATTAATTCTTGGCTGCATCCTGCTCTGTATATTCCAGGTTACACAGAACTCGATTAGTTCCTACTAACAGGCGTTTCTAAATAATTTGTTCCACTGGTATTTTATAAGAATTATTGCTGGTCATATCTGCTTGTCATCTTTCAGAACTAAATGACTGTTTATCCTTTCAGCACTATCATTAGAGGTTATGTCCAAAGAAACCCCACCACCTTCTATCTGAATAGTGCAGTACTTCTGCTTTTGGGCTCCTCTCCTTGAAAGCAGACCTCTTTGGTTTCATCTGGCTGATGTTTTTGGTGCGTGGAGACATTAGGGCATCTCAGTCCCAATTGCTGAAAAGGGAACCAAGCTAATAAAGTTCACCTCAGCTAGCTTTCAGTGCTGCAGATCACAAAAGACCTAGATCAAGCAGAAGTTACAGAAATAATCAGTTGTTTAACAAACATGATACGTGAAAGAGTTCAAAAACCCTTTATCTAGTGAAGATAAAGACTGAGGGGAAAAACTTTCAGTCCTATTCCATACCAGATAGATGCAAAGAAAGAGTTAATAAAATGCATTTACTCAGAACTTTGGTCCTAAGTAACAAATCTCTATTGCAACAATGGACATCAGGAAAAATAGAGGCAGTAAAGCACTAAAACTGGCTGCTTGGGGCAACCAGGAAATTCCCATCAGCTTTTGTTTCCAGATCAAGCATCTCAGGGGTAGATTTGGCACAGTTGTTAAGGTCAAAGCCAGCAAAATTGAATATATTCTCCTGAGATCTCTTTCCACCATACTTTCCAGGACCTTCTAGCCAAAAATCAGACAAAAAAAATCTTTGCTACTCATGAGCTATCAGGCTCAAAAACGCCACTCTTCTTTACCTTCATTTTAGAATCATAGTATAGTTTGGGTTACAAGGGACATTTAAGAGACATTCTAGTTCAAACCTCGTTCTACAGGCAGAGATAATTCCCTCTAGACCAGGTTGCTCAAAGCCCCATCCAGCCTGGCCTTGAATGCCTCCAGGAAAGGGAAGCATTAGTTTAAGCACACAGAAAAGATCTCCACAGAATTCCAAAGCTCACTGATGAACTGAAGCAAAGAACGAAACCACGCTCTCAAATATATACATCACATAGAAAAAGTTTAATGTTGATGTCTTTTTTTGATGTCTTCTAGCCCATGCTTCACCACAAAATAAGTTATTTAACACCAGTTTATGTATAAAAAGCAATTCTTCTATTAGAAGTAGTAGCGTATTTGTAGATATTTGTTGTAAAATGAAGGAACTTAAGTACATGCTGACAAGTACTTGGAATAAAGCATAATTTTCTCTTATTTCATCACATTACTAGCTACTGACTTGATGCAGCCCTAGAGATACAGGTTTCTACTCTGTGCAGAAGTCAATCTTTAAGTTACCCTCCTTCCTACTGGTTATTCCTTGACGTGCATCAAATATCCCATTCCACTTAAAGCCACCTCAGGCCTGGAAGACATTGACTAAC